GGGGGAAAACTCACGTTGCCCTAGCAGTGGTTCCATTAATGCGGCTCTTGCGGCGGCGTCGTTGATAGGTGATCGTGATTTCTCGGCGAGTTGTGCCGCAACGCATGGAGTAAGCGTTGACTGTTGCGGTCAGGGTGACCAGATTGGGCTACTTACAAACTGATTTGACGACCAAATTTTAGCTAGTGGCGACAGGTAGCCGATTGGGCTATCTCTACTTTTAGGTTATTGCTTATTGGGTTATCTAGAAATTCCCAAAATATTTTCCAGAATTTTAGAAAGTCTCTATATTATAGCGAATCAGCATTCAGCAGTGACTGTATCTAGTAACTCAATCGTTCACTCAGCGACAGTCAAATATGATTGGTTTTTAACTTTAGCTCCAACCAATTATATTTCGGCTTCGCTAAAACGGTTTCGCTAAATTGCGTTCGGAAACATCACCCGAGTACCTTTTTTATAATTTTATCTTCTGTTCACTAAGTATGGAACAAGGATAAAATAATACACATTTTATAAGAGTATTAGGGTAACGCAGTTTCGGCAGTTTCGGCAGTTTCAATTGTTTTCAAACGTAGCTCTACGTAGATCAGTAATTGTGAAAAGGAATTCCCGGCTTTCCTTTAATATTATAAGTGTCCCGTTAAATTTATCTACCTACGACAAATTGTGCATTAATTATAATGGGAAAATATGCTAAATACGAGAAACATTATCGTTGTGAGTGGGAAAAAGAAAAATCTTTAAAGGTAAATAAAATTAATGAAGATTTGTTTATGTAACATATAAATAAGGTTATATCACACACAACACACATATATATTATATATATATTTTTTAGGATGGCTTTGTCAAGCACCAAAAGAGTTATTATTAGCGGACCATAGAGAAGCATACTGTAAATTATGTAAAGTCTCTTTACGAGCTCAAAAACATGATCTTAAAAAACATGTAGCCACAAAAACTCATAGGGAAAAAACATTAGCTTTAGATTTAACAAAGCAAAAGTGTTTAATAGATTCCGGTAAGTAATTTAAAATTATTTATATACACGCGTGGATAATATGTTTCTTCCTATTTATGTAACCAAAAGAAATATTTGTAGGAATTTCAATAAAGTTAAAGGAAAGTAAACACACTGACATAAAACTGGCATTACATGTTGCAGCCCATAGTTTTAT